CCTCTTGGAAACCAGAACCACCTTTTCTCCCAGGTGTCTAGGAAACCATCCCTGTCAGTCTTGTCAGGGCCGGTGGTTGCTCCTGGACAGAGCCTGACCCTCCAGTGTCGCTCTGATGTTGGCTACGACAGATTCGCTCTGTCCGAGGAGGGAGCAGGTGACCCTCCCCGGCGCCTTGGCCGGCAGCCCCACGCTGGGCTCTCTGGGGCGAACTTCGACCTGGACCCTGTGAGACCCTCCTACGGGGGCCGGTACACATGCTATGGTGGACAGAACCTCTCCTCCGAGTGGTCGGCCCCCAGTGACCCCAGGGACATCCTGGTCGCAGGTGAGGAGTCATATCCCAGCTCACACTCCCACTTTTCTTGGACTGGCGTTTCAGGGTCTTGTTGGAAGTGGGGGCAGGGAGCACAGGCCAAGAGATGCCAGGACAGGAAAGGGCAATCTTGTTTTTTTCAGAATGCAAATATTCTTTGGTTTACTCATCAAAATCGCAAATAACGAAATAGCAAAAACCTTATCAGTTAAATTAAAAAGTGACATTCTTTATTTACCTATCAAACCTTATAAAGTGCAATCTTAAGAAAAGTGGGAACAGAAGAAGCCAGCAGCGCGCTTGGATGGAGCGCCTGAGTGACAGCTCCGCTCAGCTCAGGGCAGGGGCAAGAGGGTGGAGCCGCCCCTAACACCCTGGACTCTCCCTCCCAGCCCTGCCCCCACAGGGGCCAACTCCCACAATTCTGCCAAGCCGGGGCCCTCTGTGGCCCCAGGAGAGAATGTGACCCTGCGGTGTCAGAGCCCCAGCTTGTTTGATGCGTTCCTTCTGTCCAAGGAGGGGGAAGCCGGCCCCCGCCCTGCACCTCAGATCTCAGCACCAAGATGAGGAATTTCAGGCGAACTTTGACTTGCGCCCTGCGACGCTGGACCACGGGGGGACTTACAGGTGCTACGGGTCACTCAGCAGCACCCCTTTCCTGCTGTCACACCCCAGCGACCCCCGGAAGCTCATGGTCACAGGTGAGGGGCTGTGCGAATGTCTTCTTCCCCATCCCATCTGTCTAGTGTCTGGATGACCCCACAGCAGCCACTTCTCTGGATGCACCTTGTCCTTCCCTCCTCTGCTCCACACCTCCCACTGGGCCCTGACCCACGTGTGAAATGCAGCGTCTCTGAAAAAGCCAGAAGACTTGCTTTTATCTACTTCTTTTTTTTTAATTTTTTTATTGTTATGTTAATCACCATATATTACATCATTAGTTTTTGATGTAGTGTTCCATGATTCATTGTTTGTGCATAACACCCAGTGCTCCACGTAGAACGTGCCCTCTTTAGTACCCATCACCAGGCTAACCCATCCCCCTACCCTCCTACCCTCTAGAACCCTCAGTTTGTTTCTCAGAGTCCATCATCTCTCATGGTTCCTCTCCCCCTCTGACTTACTCCCCTTCATTCTTCCTCTCCTGCTATCTTCTTCTTTTTCTTTTTTCTTAAAATATGTTGCGTTATTTGTTTCAGAAGTACAGATCTGTGATTCAACAGTCTTGCACAATTCACAGCGCTCGTATCTACTTCTTTAACAGGAATGCATTGACATGGTCCATCCCAGAAACTGTTCACAAATGGGATACAAGAAGAGTAGTTACCTCTCAATCTCTGCTACCCCTTGCTCAATCCCCCAAAACCAACCCGACCACACTCACCTACTTTTTCCCCCCTGAACATTCAGGGAGAACCTACAAACATGTCTTCCATGGGTGGACAAACATCAACATCTTATAGACACAGTTCTGATCAGCTCTATTTTTAAAAAATTAAATACATTCTAAAGAATTATCTGGTATCAGTAACACAAATCTCTTTTAGACTTTTTAAGGGTTGTATAGTTGTTTCTTGCTTGAAAGTGTCAGGATATATGTATGCAGTACCCTATAATTTGGCATTGGCAATTTGTTTATTCCCAGACTTTCCATAATACAGATTATCCTCTGATGAATATCTTTGCACATACCTAATGCACAGGGGTGTGTGGAAGCAATTACCCCTCATCTCTTGGTTAAATTCTTAGAATAGAACAGCTTAGGCAAAGGATGTGGTCATTCATTGTGTGGTAAATACTGACACTCTCTCTTCCTATGCCTCACTGTTTGCCACTCTCCAGTTTTGACTTAAAATCCTCTCCCAAATGACAACTTGGCTGGTGACCCTATACAAATACCCAATTAACACCTTTTATAATTTTGAAAAAAATGTTTAATCAGTCCTAAATGTATTACAGACTTTTCTATTTATAGCTCCATCTTAGCTGATACACATTTTCCTCCTCCTCCTCCTCCTCCTCCTCCTCCTCCTCCTTCTTCTTCTTCTTCTTCTTCTTCTTCTTCTTCTTCTTCCTCTTCCTCTTCCTCTTCCTCTTCCTCTTCCTCCTCTTCTTCTTCCTCCTCCTCCTCCTCCTCCTCCTCCTCCTCCTCCTCCCCTCCTCCTTCTTCTCCTTCTTCATTGGGTGTGGAGCCTAATGCAGGGCTCAATCCCACAACCCTGAGATCAAGAGTCAGATGCTGGAGTCAGGCACTCCACATTTTTCTTCTTAATAAGAACATTGATTATTCTTTATTACCTTCACCAAGACACACATGCACATGCTGGTACACATACTCTTGTGTATTGTATACATATAAACGTCTCACCACATATGTCTCTCTCTATATACAGATATATGTAGCACATAAAATACATTATATAATATGTATATTGTATGAATTTATAGTATGTGATTTTATACATTTATATATAGATATATCTTATATATCATATGTGTAGATAATGTACATAAATACCCACATATGTATATAAATACATCTATTTATATTTTCAGATAGTCCATAACTATTGGCTCAATAGCGAATGAATGAATGAATGGATGGATGGATGGATGAAATAGCAAAAGAAAATCATTTGAAAGTTCTTAACACAGATGCCGGATGAAACTGAATGGGCCAAGGCTGAGCAGAGACTGGTAGCCCTGGGTGCCCAGCCCTTTGTGTTTCTGACCCTCAGGAATCCCTGGGCACCCACCGCTCATCCATGAATCCAGGATTCTCAGCTGAGAATTAACTCAGGACGCTCCTCCCCAGGAAATTAAGCTCAGTGTGGGCTATTGCTCAGTCTGATGAGAGAGCAAGAAAGATCTAGGTGTGAGGGATTTCCAAACTGGTGCACTGTCAGCTCATGGCATAGGGTGTGGCTGAATCCTTTTTTGTCATTAAGACTCCAAAGCAAAGTCGAAATGCAAAGGAATTGGAGACAAGAGGGTTTGTGCCTCACCTACAGCTGCAGGAGGGGTCACTGTGAAAGCTGAGGTCCTTCCTTGGGACAGGAGAAGGGAGATTTGATAATTCAGATCCTCAGGGGAACACTGGGCTGAGATATCCCCAGCTACTCATCTGCTCTGCATTCCTGACTCTCAGGGGCTCCTGTTACTATCACCCCATCAGACTCCACGAGCGGTGAGTAACAGAACACAGTCAGCCTGCGGTGCATATGACCTGTTCAAGGGGAGGAGAGACCTAGACCTCCCCTCTGGGTGCCGTGGTAGGCGTGACCTGTCCTGCCCTGCATGACCTCTCTGTCCCATTGTCCCTAGTCCCACTTCCAGATCACACACTGGAGAATCTCATCCGAATGGGTCTGTCTGCCCTGGTCCTGGTGGTGCTAGCAGTGTTGGTGTTTCAGGTGTGGCACAGCCAGAGAAGTGCCCAAGGTGAAACCAAGAGGTAAACTGAAGATGATGCTGCACACACTCTTTGGGGTTTGTAGAACCTTAGAACAGAATCACACACACACACAAGGTTGCAATGTCACAGAAGATTCTAAACAGGTTCATGAACTGCATGAACTCTGTGCTGAAGACCTAAAGGCAATGAAGCAGTGTTGTCTGTGCAGGAGGCAAGGACCAAGGCTGGGAATGCTCCCTGGAGGAGGCTCCTCCACCATGAACCTTGCCCCTTGCCTTACTGCCTCCTTAGTGTCTGGCTTCTCTTATTCCCCCACCCTGATGACATGAAGTTTCATCCACATGAAACATTTGTGCCCATAACTCCACTCACTTTTTTGTTCTGTTCCAACACTGTGTATCACAGATTTCTTTTTGTCACATGCACGCTCCCTGATGGGAGTTTCCAGTCTGTCCCTCCAGCTCTAAGTGCAGAGACTCAAGTAATGTGGTTGAGTAACTGCTTTGACGGACTGAAATTTATATCCAGCCTGGAAGGTGCAAGCCCAGAATGACATCCCAACACCTTGTCTGGATTCTGCAGGCTTCTCTCTCTTCACCAGGTGCTTACTGCACGGCTCCTCCCCCAGCATCAGCTCCTGGAATCAGCACTCTTCTGCGTGAGCCTCTGGTGCTTTCCTGTGTGACTGGTAGTGATGACTGCTCCTTCAGGGTTGTGGTGCTAATTAAATGAGACTGTGAATTCCAAGATGATAGAGAGATATTTGTTTGTTTTGATTTCAAAGCATTGCTGGAGAGTAGGTAGCATTTCACACACTGCCGGTAGGTGTGCAAATTGCTCCAACCAGTTTGGTAGGGGGTAGTGTGGATTTTCTGGCTGAGGGGAAAAGATATGCAGCTATGATCAGGCAGTCTGACACCTAGAAGTTTGCCCTGGGGAACCCCGTGCACATATACCCGAGGATATAGGCACAAGAGTCAGAGGAGAAGCATTGCTCCCATAGGCCAAAAACTATAAATAACAAAATTCCACCAACTGAAGAATGAATGAGTATTTTGTGTTACTTTTATACAATGGAATATAATACAACAGTTAAAATGCACAAACTAGGATTAGAAACATAATAAATACAGATTGATCTTATAAATACAATGATGAGTGAAAGAAGAAAGCCAAAAAGGATGCATGCGATACTATTGCATTATTAACAAGACACAACATAAATTATGTAGGAGTTATAAAAGGTGCAAAAACCATGAAAAGGGATGAAATGATTAATTTAAAATCACAGTGATGGTCACCTGTAGAGAGGGCACAACAGCAGGGTATTTTCACAATGGACATTACTACTGGAAACCATGTGGGAAATAGCAGATTATCTGAAACCTCAACCCAGGCTCTGGTCTAGAGAGGAATCCAGTACCCTGGTTGGACCTTAACACCAGATGGGGTGGCCTTGTATGGGGTGGACTTGTCACTTTTTAACTCTTATGGGAATGGTCAATATTACACAGTGGTCATGTGTGCAAGGATTTAAGTTGATGCAGTAACATCAAGGGTAAGGGACATGCAAACATTTTAGTGTAGCCACAGTGTGTGGGATAAAGGAGAGAAACACATTAGTTCTGGAGTTGGCCAAAGGAGCCTTGGCAGTGCACTGAGAAGCTCAGATGCTCATGGACACAGGTAATGGGCCAAGCTCAACTGGAGAATTTGAAAATTCAAAGATCAAGAGCACTGTCCACTGCCTCAACTTGGAGCATAAGAGATACTTTGTTGTTTCCAACATGGAGGATATTTCTCAGCTAACAAATCATTCCTGCATACACTGGTGAAGCTCCAGAATCCTGTGAGGCCACACTCGGAATCAGTAATCTGCACACTATATCCTTAAAATGTGGGGCCTGGGTGGCTCAATTGGTTAAGTGCCTGGATTTGGCTCAGATCATGATCCCAGGGTCCTAGGATGGAGCCCTGCATTGGGCTCCCTGTGCAGTGGGGAATCTGCTTCACCTTCTGCCTCTGCCCCTCCACCCACTTGTGCTGTCAGTCTCTCTCTCTCTCTCTCTCTCTCTCTCTCTCTCTCTCTCTCTCTCTCATAGATAGATGGAATCTTAAAAAAATAAATCCTCAAAATGTGAACAAAATCTCTGAATCCAAGAGAACTCTACATCTGATATAAAGATCTCAGGGAGGGGCGCCTGGGTGGCTCAGTTGTTAAGCATCTGCCTTCGGCTCAGGTCATGATCCCAGGGTCCTGGGATCGAGCCCTGCATTGGGCTCCCT